TTACAGAATAATGTCGTTGAGACTCATATATGTTATAGCAAGTTTGGCAGTACATTTATTTTTGTTCTTCAGTAGGAACCCATTGCACAGATGTATTATTGTTTGTCTGCCCATTTATGAGTTCCCATAAATATGTGCTTTTCCAGGTCTTGGTGATAAGAAATAATGTTATGGTGAGTGATTTTTTTTTTTTTTTTTTTTTTTTTTTGGTTTTTCGAGACAGATGGTGAGTGATTTTTATAGGTCTTATATGAAAACATTTAAATTTATCTTAGGCAAATATCTAAGAGTTAAACTGTTAGGTTATATGGTGAATATATGTAGGATTTTATAATAGATGTCATTCAATAACATTTTGAGAAATGACTACAAATTCATGGGAATTGAAAAGATGGTACTCAGAGGTCCTCTGTCTTCTTGACCCATGGTTTGTAATAGTTAAGTTATAATTGCAGTACAATATAATTGGATGCAGTTTACCTAAGTATTTGGTGTCATGCCATGATTTATTAACAATACACATGTTGCCAAACTTTCATCACCTTTAATGTCATGTCCTGTCTTTATAGTTATATTAAATCTCTGTCCATTGCAGACACTAGTGTTTCCATGTCTACAATTTTATAATATTGAGGATGTTATATGAGACAAAATATACTTTAAAATTATTTAGAGAAAGGTCACTTTTACTTGTAATAAGATCATTAAAATCCATTTGAGTTGCTACAGATGCAAATAATTCATTAGTTGTTAGTGTTGATAGTTATTTCTGACATTTTGTTCTTGCTAACACCACTGCTGTAAGTTTTTCCTAGAATTTATCCTTGAAAATTTTTCCTACTGTTTTCATTGTCATGTATCTATAACTGTTGAAATACACCATAAACTCTTCCACAGGGTTTCTGCACACATTGTTCTTGGGTCTTTGTATGTTCTTCTGCTTAGACACCCCTCATATCACATCCCCATATGTTCAAATATCCTTAAGCCTCTAGGCAAATTTCAAAGGCCACATCTTTCAAAACAGTCAGTGCTCATTGTTGTGATAAAAAATATAATATGTATTTTCTATATATTTACCTATGCCTACTTTACATCATTTACTATGTTCTATTTAATCAGTTATTTTTCTGATATAAGTATCACCATCTTAATGTTTTGTAGGTTGCTACAGCCTCTTGACCAGAGCAATTATTTTTTGTTTATTTTCTCCTTCCCTCCTGATGTGGAAAGTTCTTCTGTATATGTGTTGCTTTTATTGGTTAATGAAAAAAGAAGCTGCTTGGGCCTATGACAGGGCAGAATAGAGCTAGGTAGAAAACTAAACTGAATGCTGGGAGAAAAAAAAAGGTAGCATCAGAGAGAAGCCATAGAGTTGCCACAGGAGATAGACGCCAGATGCTGGATGGAATTTTACCAGTAGGCCACAGCCATGTGGAGATACACAGATGAATAGAAATGGGTTAATTTAAGATATAAGAGGTAACTAGCAAAATGCCTAAGTGATGGGCCAAGCAGTGTTTTAATTAATACAGATTTCTATGTGATTATTTGGGGAGTCTGGGCAGCCAGGAAATGAATGAGGAGCCTCCAGCAATACCTTCCTTTAGACATTGTGCAGCTGTTTCCTCTGGACTGAAGTGTTCCCAACCAGAGGAGGGGTGGAGACTCATAAGACTCAAGAGACAATGAATCTTAGAGCCTCAAAAAATGAGAAGCTTCCCAAGTGCCCTCTGCAATGTTGCAGAAGCAGTAGACTCTTGCTGAGGGACAATCAACTCTAGCAGAGATGCCTACAAGATGGGCAGTGAGTTGGAGAGGCAGATTTTGTGAGTCACCATCCATGCTGAGGTAGGCCGTTTCATGGTACAGTTCTCTCTGAGTCAGACATATTCCTGTAAGAAACCCCTCTCTTGGGCTCCTGTAACTTGATGAACCTATTGACCTAGCTGGCTAGGCTTGGTTGGAATTGTTTCTCTGTCCTGTCATTGATTCATCATGATGTAGACAGATGCTTGTTATTGTGTCCTGGGGAAAATACACAAGGCTTTCAGGCTTCAGTTTGGAAAATTCAGCTTGCTTTATATACATGGATATCGACTATAATTTTTGATTAGGGTAAATCTTTATGATTAGAGAAGAGAAAAATGTTCAATTTCAAATATCTACATTGATTATATTCTTAACTACATCACGATTATCTTTATTTCATGTTAATTTCTATGTAGCACTCAAATTTTATAGTTTAAATCTACTTAGTATGCTGCTGGCTCAGTTAGCATATGCTTATGTACATGGTCTACAACTGTGCCCTATTTTTGATGTCTCCTGAGAATGAAACAGCCTGGCTGAAGTAAATATCTGCCTCTTACTTCTAATCTGACTGTCTCTAGACAGTTGTTTCTTCCAATGGATCCAGCTCCCAGCTTTGCTTTTTTGAGTCACATGGAGTAAAACTATCAATTTATTCTGTTTGGTAATGAAGGATTTCAACCATTTTTATTTCAATGGGCAAAATTCTAAATTGAAGTAATTTAAAAATCTATAACATGACATTTATTTATACTACTTGATAATCATTTCAACCTAACCAAATGATTAACTAAAAATAAACTCTTGTCTACCTCTCTGTTATTAGGTACAATGCCTTTAGATTTCAAATGTCTTTTGGATGGGTGTCTTTTGTCTTCAAAACAAAATTCTTGTCAGTCAGTCCTGGTAACCTTTGTTTTGAAGTCATTTTGCCTAATATAAGTATAACTCCATAGAAAATGTTTTACAATACCTACAATCTTTGAATGGATTCAACTCTTTTGTTAAATATGAGAGCGTATAAATGAATACTAAAGTAAAAATCCAAAGTTTTAAGTTCCAAGACAAAGTATTGTTGACAAGCTGGAGGCCAATCATTCAGTCATCCTGATCTTTAATCATCCTGGTTATGACACGGAAATGAAGGCCTCTCTGCTTAGCTTAGTATGAGAAAAATACACATGCAGTCCCTGACTTACTATGACTTACCTCGTGGTTTTTCAACTTCAGTGTACTGGGAAAATGGAAAACATTTAACAGAAATCAAATTTTGGATTTTGATTTTTTTTATATTTTTGCAAGATAGCTATATGTAGTAGAAAACTTCTCAGAGATGCCGAGCAAAATGGCACAACCCCCAAATAACTGAAAGAATATGAGGATCAGAAACACTACCTCATATTGCATTGCTTTGTTATGCTGTGGTGTTCAGTAAATCAGGAACGTTAAATATATTGTTGATATTAGATCATATTTATTCATTATAGGTTTATTACAATGTAACCCTTTCATAAGTTGATGAACCTTTGTATAAAAATAAGACTCTCTCTCTCTCTCTCTCTCTCTCTCTATATATATATATATATATATATATATATATATAGTTGAAAATTAGTTTCCCACACAAATATGTTTTAATAATTCACCAATGTTACAAATAAAACAAATTATAGAAATACAGGTTCTTGGGTCATTTTTATTGTTGTTGCTTTTTGTTTTGTTTGAAACAGGGTTGTTCTGTGTAGCCCTGGATGTCTATGAACTCACTGTATAGACCAGGCTTGCCTCAAACTCACAGAAATCTGCCTGCCTCTGCCTCCTTGAGTGCTGTGGTTAAAGGTGTGAGCCACCATCACCTGGCAGGATCTTGTTTTTAAATCTCTTTTTTATATAGAGGTATTGATAAATAATGTAGGTATCTATATGCTCTAAGGAATTTATTATTCTTTAGTTCCAGTAAATAGAAATAAAAACATAATTATATGGAAAATTACACCATCTTGATTAAAAATATTTGAACTTTATTATATGAATGTATAAAATAATCAAGTAATTAAAAATAGAAAAAGGAAATACTTTATTCAATAAGTCCTTTTATGAAAGTTATTGAAACAGTTACCATACATCTTTAACATAATTTCTTTTATTGATTCTTTAGATATTTCACATAATGCACCCCAATCCCACCCATTTCCCAGTCCCACTTTGTCTGCTCTCCATCCCTGTAGCCTCTCCCCACAAAATAAAACCATTCACTTCTGTCTTTCCCACATATCCATTGCCATAGTGACTTTGGGAACTGCAGTGTGACATGCAGTATAACCTTTACCCTAACAGCTTTTCTTGCAAATGTTCATTGCAATGAGTTGTTGGTCTGGTTCAAGGCCTATGGCTTTTGGTACACTATCAATACTGGACCCTTGCTAAAATTCAACTCTGCTATCCTGCTATTACCTGAGTCATGGAGATCCAATAGCAATGGTTCAGGTCTCCAGTAGGTCATAGATGGGGTAGATGCTGGGGTAGGCCAACTCAACATCTAGGATGTGGGCCTGGGTAGTTTAGGAGGAGGGCCTGCTTGTTCATCCAGGCTTAACCCCAAAGTAACTACACAGAAATCGTATTAATTAAATCACTTCTTGGCTCATTAGTACTAACTTCTTATTGGCTAAATGTTACATCTTAATTTAACCCATTTCTATTAATCTGTATATTGTCACGTGGTTTACCGGGAAAGATTCAGCATGTCTGTCTCTGGCGCCTCCGTGGTGTCTTACTCTCTGCCTTCCTTCTCCCAGCATTCAGCCTAGTTTTTCCTGCCTACCTAAGTTCTGCCTTATCAACAGGCCAAGGCAGTTTCTTTATTCATTAACCAATGAAAGCACCACATAGCCAGAAGGACCTCCCACACCAGAGTAGTAACTGATCTGATCAGTTCTGGCCTCCACCAAGATCACTGCCCTCTGGTGAGGGTCAGAGCCAGTTCTCCCACACCCTGCATCTGAACCAGCTCTCCCCAGATAAGGAGTGGGAATAGCTCTCCTGTGTGCAGGCCAAGCTGTCCTTTACCACTAAGGCCAGTTCTCCTGGAGAAGGGGGGCAGTTCTCCCACTGAGGCGACCAGACAGAAACAGAACCAGTTCTCAGGTGCCCAGTCTACTGGGCCAGTTCTCTCAGGTCTCCTCTTCATGGTAAAATTGGCAATAGACATCAACACAGATCCCGGTCATGACAGGACCATGGACTCAGACATGGTCCTAGGCACAGATGTCACCATTCCCCAGATGACAGCTCAGGACACCCAGATTGGCATGGCCTCAGCAACACTGAGTCCTTCAGACAGCAGCGTGGCCTCAGGTGGCATACTGAAACCTAGGCATTTGCATGGCCACTGGGGGTAACATGGGCTATGGATGTCATCACAGACACTGACGGCAGCAGAGCCACAGACCCAGACATGGCCCCCAGACACAGCCCAATCCCAGACATTTGTGTGACCCTGGGTGACTTCACAGGCCACTAATATTTGTATGGCCCTAGTGGCAGCATGGCCCCTGGGCACCAACATGGTCTCAGGTGATGGAGCAGATCCCAGGCATCCTCATGGCTTTTGCTAGTAACACAGGCCATGGACATCATCACAGATCCCAGTTGTGGTAGGATCATGGACCCAGACAAGGCCCTCAGCCACAGATGGGGCTAGGACACAACCATGGCCTCAAGAGGCAGCATAGGCCACCCATATCAGCCTGTTCCTCCCTACCTTCGCTTCTTCAGTTCTGGTTTCTCCAGTGTATGAACCACTCGACTTTCCTTCTGTCCCTTTTCCCCGCCACATATCTGTTCATTGTAGTGGTGCCTACTGTGGCTGTCTTCTGTCTGCTTGCCTGACTACCCAGGGTATGGGGCCTACTATACACTTTTTATTACTTTTCTGCATAGCATAATTGATGGAGGAAGGTCATTGGCTAATAAAGGAACTGCCTTGGCCCATTTTATTGGTTAGAGGATAGGTGGGAGGAGTAAACAGAACAGGACGCTGGGAGGAAGAGGAAGTGAGCTCAGTCTCGACAGCTCTCCTCTCGGGAGCAGACGCCTGAGAGAGACGCCATGCCCCACTCCCGGGATGAAGCTCCGACCCAGGATGGACATAGGCTAGAATCTTCCTGGTAAGCGCACCTTGGGGTGCTACACACAGATGATTAGAAATGGGCTAAATTAATATGTGAGAATTAGCCTAGAAGAGAATGGGCCAAGCAGTGTTTAAATGAATATAGTTTGTGTGTTGTTATTTCGGGCATAAGCTAGCCGTGCGGGCGGCTGGGGTGCTGGGGACGCAGCCCCACCACTCTAATTACTACACATAATTCCATTTTTCTTAAGGGAAAAAGGAAAACACATATAGTTTACATCTTAAACTGATGCTAGGTGTTCCATACCAAGACTGTTTAACACTGGCAACTACACCTCCCTGATACAGAGTAATTAGGCCAGAAACATTTAAATTACTTTCAAGAAAATACTTTCTTCAATCATGCAATTTTACAGTAAGGACTTAATAATGAAAGATACTAACAGCACACAGGAGGACTCATTTCAAAGAACCAAGTGTGTCATATGGAAATAATGTCTGTATTAATTTTAATTTCACCTAAGCATGTAGACAACTAAGTAGTTATTTGGTGAGGGGTATGGTACTGTTAGAGAGGGATATAAACCACCAACAAAAGTAAGAGGGTGGGGAAGAGGGAGAGGAAGATGAAGAAGAAGAGGAGGAAGAGCAGGAAATTGCAAGGACAAAACTTTAGCTCTTACAATTATTTAAGAAATAGTTCATTCCAGTTAACTGAAATTTTTTGGAAAACTGTGCTTCACTTTTCAATATTCAAACTCAGTTTTCCATTTCCTGTGTACTGCCCACCCAATCTACAAATGATAGTTTACATAAATTAAGTCTCTTACTTCTTTCTATGGTTCCATTGAAGATCACCTATTGGTTCAGCAAGGAAAAAATTTATTGGTAGATTGTAGTCTTACAGAAAGGTTTAAAGAAATTGCCAGGAGAGTTATTCATGTCCCACAGAATAATCAAAAGAATTGTGAGATTGTGGCTTCATGTTACTTCGAGGTTGAATGGCTGGCTGCACAGATTGCTTCTCTCATAGGTTACATAGTCTCCTTCATGCTTGTCAATGATAACACGTACCACCCTCTCTCTTGGTGTCTCACTTTGCTCTAGCTACTATAGACTCCCTTCTTTTTCCTTATAGTATAATGGGTTCTTCTTTGTTCATTCTTAGAATGTAGATGCTTCCCTTCAGCTGGTCTTCACCAAATAATAGGAGTTTGTTCTTTAAAATAATTGAGCAGAGGCAGCTGAAGAGATGATGGCTCAGGAGGTAAAGGCATTCGCTACTCTTGCAGAGGACCTGAGTTTGATCCCCAACATCCACATGGTAGAGTACCAGCCCCACCATCTAGAGCTCATTTCCTGGAGATGTGATGATGCTCTCATCACATATATACATTCAGGCAGAATACTCATGCACATAAGAGATGCATATTGAAAAGAATTTCATGTGTGTAATTTAATCCGGAATCCCTTTATTTTCACAAGTAAAATCTCTGTAATATACAGTAGCTTCTCAATTGACATCTTCCTAAAAGTTCCCTTGTAGATTTAGTGGGACAGTGACTTATCTTCCTGTGTCCTCTCCTAAATTATCTATGATCTCTTAGAAGTCAGATAGTGCTTTGTCTTTTTCTTAAGTCTATGTCTCTTGAGGTAAGACCAGCACAGGCATTTAATAAATATATGTGGTATTTCATGAGGAGAATCATATGCCTCTGAAGATTCAAGGGATAGAACACTTGTCTTTTGTCTTTAAGGCTTTGAAGTTCAATCCTAAATTCTAACAAAATAAAGTAGATACTACTATAAACATAAAAAAGCATAGGGTAATTCCTCTGACCTAGTTTGGGAGTTAAAAGTGCAGTGGTAGAATGCCAGGGTTTACATCTTTAATGTATGTATGTGTGTGTTTAGTACTTGGGTTCCTCCCAGATCCACCCTCACTTCCATATTCATCCAAATTTGTACAGTCTTTTTATCCTTTTTAACAGCCATCAAGAAGTCCAGTTTGTGCTCCCAGTGTGTGTTGTGGATGTGTGTCCTTCCACTGGAGTACGTTTAACTTACCAATGTTACATTCTTCAAGAAAACTGACTTACCCTCTCCCAATAGCCATCAATTGTCAAGAAATATTTTTGCTAAAGTTTGAACTTCATGACAACCTCACCTCTCTATGTCAGTATTTTGTCTGTCTTGAACTTGCTGTCTCATGCATGCTGTCACAACTACAGTGTTCATGTGTGCATCTGTCCAGTTGTGTCTAAAGACAATGTTTGCTTGCATTGATGCACTGTCTCTGACTTTAATGCTTTCCCTGCCTCACCTTTGATATAGACTACCAGACTTTGGGAGGAGGGGTATGATATACATAAGCATCAATGTGAATGATAGAAAATGAACCCACGTCCTCTGAATAAGCAAGTATTCTTCTTTTCTGAACCTTATTTCTAGCCTCTCTTTTGGAAAAACATTTATTTTGTATTTTGAGATTATAATATAATTTTATAAGTGCTCCTTTCCCTTTCCTCTTTCATGTATTTCTTTTTGCTCCCTTTCAAGTTCATATCATTTTTCATCAATTGTTGTTGCATACATATTTTAAAATGTGTGTGTGTGTATTTATAAGTATATAAATACATTATGCAGTCTCAGTATATAAATATGACATCATACCATCTTGTGATATTTAATTGTATGTATCAATCAATTCACATCATATCATTTAGTTATCAAATTGGCTGACCATTTAGTATTTGGTAGCTAGTTGATATGCTCTTCTGTGGGGAAGACTATTTCTCCTTACCTCGGTATTCCTTAGTTTTCTGCAGTTCTTTGCTTATGGCTGAAGCCTGACCTTTTCTGAAAGCACTGTACTGTGTCTATTGGTGTCTCCCTTGTTCAGCTCATGTATAGACAGTTATACTGATGAGACATTATGAACGCAGCTTCTGACACTCCAAGAGACACAATCTCTGTGTTCCTCTGGTTCTTACAATTTTTCTGTCCCTATTTTGCAAAGGTCCCTGAGTCCTCGGTACAGTGATGGATTGTAGATGTGTAAGTAGGGACTGAGATCCACAACTCTGCGTTTTGACTCAGTGTTATTTTCTGTAACCGTCTACATATGTTGCAAAGATAAAGGGGACAAGCATTGTACAAGTTATTTGAAGGGGGAAATGGGAAAGCTGGAATCTCTAACTAGGGAAGGAGTTCTCCTCCTTTTTGCACCCCAATCTTCAACCCCAGAAATGGTTCTTTTATACCCATAGATAAGCGTAGTCCTACAGCTCTTTAACAGATCTTCAAAACCATTCAACAAGAAGGAAATCATGCCTGGTACCCAGAACTAATGAAGATTTTGGAGTAGAACCTGCACCCACCACTCTGCGAAACTGGCACAATCCCTAACTGCACTCTCTCATTTTTAATTTTAAGTCTTATGCTTTATAATATAAATGAGGCTCTTATGTACTACATGAACCACACTGGCCACAAAACAACATCTCTTTTAGTCTAGGTTTTATTTTATTATTTTATTAATTTTTGAGACCACATCTTACTGACTCACACTGTATGGAACCCCATATTGTTTTCAGGCCTATGATCTTCCTTTCACAGTCTTCTGAGCTCTGGGACAATAATTGAACACCAACACACCTGACCTTTCTGAAAGCAATCAAGATCAAATAAAATATTTCTTTGTTATTGTAAAGGTGAATTTAATTACCAGGATTGTTTTAAATTTTATTTTTTCTCATTAATTCTTTTTTTACAAAAAGGGAAGAAGGGGAAGGTAGGATAATGAGGAGAAGGATATATTTTTTACAAAACACATACGTGTATGTTTAACTGTCACTGAAGTCACTAAAGTAAGCTGAGGATGAGAGAAATAGTCTTCTGCAGAGAAGATATCCAATACCACATGGTCAGTCCTGCAATCATTCATACCAGTAAAATTACAAAGACCGAGTAGGCTGTACATTCATATTTAAAGAAAGAGGAGACCATGAATTTGAAAGAAAGCGAAGAGGGGTATATGAGTGGTTTGGGGTCAAAAAAGGGAAGGTGGAAATGATATAAATAAACCATAATCTCAAAAAGTAGGATAAATAATTTTAAAAGATTAAATCAAGATTAAATTAATTGCACTTCATAAAAATACTATTTATAATAAAGTTATTAAAACCATACAGAAATCTCACAATGAAGTACATTCGATTTATAATTAATGCATAAAAATGAGGGATGAGTTTATTGTCTTAGAT